TAATCATAAGCTTTTTTATGATGTTTTGAGTATTAGTCTTTTTCTTTACAATAATTATTACTTATATTTTATCAAATACTAACAATGTCTTTTACGAGGTGATGCTAATTTATTCACTTAAATAAATTGCTTTAAAAAATTAATACAAATTTTGTTCAAATTATTGTAGTTTACGATTTATTTACTTAATTACACACGTAACAATTCATATAATATATATTTTTTTTTTTTAACTATTTATAAAACATTACTGTTTAATTTTAGCGCACAGACTGTCTTTCTTTACACACTTTTCAAAGAGAACAGAAGAGGCTTTTTTATATTACAATAGAATTCAAGTTGCAAATTAACATGCGTACGAATAATTGAGTGCGAATGTCAAGAGCTGAAAGCTCAAATGAGTAAAAGAAATGACTCAAAACTGGTATTGATCTTGCTCTACATTATTCGTACACATGTTAAAATGCTTACAAACTCAACTTGCTAGATCTACCAAAGCACCGTGCTCCAACATCCCGCCCCCTTGAAAGGATTTCAAGCTGGCAATAGTGCAAGTTTGTGGATTGGTCGACGGATGACTCCTTTGGATGTCTGCAGATCGACTACGCGAATATGCTTATCTGGACCATTTACACAGTGAATGATTCTTCCCATCAGCCAACGTTGTGGGGCATATTATCCTCGTGGATTATTACTAATGTTCCATTGCTGACGTTTGATTGTTCCTTTGTCCATTTGGTACGTGTCTGCAGCTCGTTTAGATAATCTCGAGCCCATCGGCGCCAGAAATGATGTTTTACAGCCTTCACACGGACCCACTTATCTGCTAGTGGCAATTTATCATATTGAGATGTTGATTCCGGTAATGTCTTAAGTGGGCCGCCGATAAGAAAATGTGCTGGTGTCAATGCATCATAGTCGCTTGGATCGCAAGACAGCGGTGATATTGGTCTCGAATTAAGTATGGCCTCGATTTCAATCAGTACTGTTCCAAGTTCCTCAAACGTAAGACGAGTGTTTGCAAGGGTTCGGTTCAGATGGCCCTTAGCAATTTTCACAGCCGCCTCCCATAGCCCACCGAAGTGAGGCGTCCTAGGCGGTATAAAATTGAAATTGATGAATTGGTTGGTGCAAAAAGTCTGCAAATTAGATTGGTTAGTTTTATTAAATAAAAAGTTTTTCAAGTCAGCCAGCTTGTTGCTAGCACCAACAAAATTTGTTGCATTATCGCAGTAGATATCTGATGGCAGTCCCCTTCTGCCGATCAATCTTTTTAGTGCTGCGATAAAGGTGTCCGTAGTTAAATCTGACACTGCCTCGATGTGTGCCGCCTTTGTTGATAAGCAGACGAAGATAGCTATATACGTTTTGAATGGGGCTTTTCCCCGAATACCAAGATACGTTAATACTGGCCCACAAAAATCTACTGCTGTACGAGCGAATGGCCTACTGGGAGTGACGCGTTCAATAGGAAGGTTACCCATTATTTGACCAAGCAATTTCGGTTTCTAACGCACGCAGTGAATGCAAGACCGAACCGTTCGACGCGCAATATCGCGAATGTTTAGTATCCAAAACTTAAGTCGAGTAAGGGCGATTAATGCCTTGGCTCCTGCATGATAGTTGCTCAGATGAAGATGCCGAACGTACAATTCCACAAAATAACAGCCTTTAGGCAGTAGAATCGGATGTCGCTGACCCCTGGCAATGTCACTAAGTGCGAGACGCCCTCCTACCTTTAAGAGTTGATAACCTGACGCTTCCTCCAAGAATGGGTTTAGGTGCTTGAGTGACCTTTCCACTGGGTTACCTCGCTGTAGGCCTTGTATATCCTGAGAAAAAAAATGATTTTGGATAATCCAAACAATACAATGCAGTGCTTTTTGTAATTGCATAGGTTGAATGAACTCTACGTCAGCTTTCTCTTTATACTTGGTTAACTGATGGAATCGATGTAGTTGCGCTACTATTCGTAGTATTTTAGTATAGGAGCCATACCTTGATATAACTGTCAGCAAATAATTTTCTTTAGTTACCTGAGTAAACGCAAGTTTTCTTCTTTCCTTATTGACTACTTCCATATCTAAATTGCTATGTTCTGGTTGAGGCCAATGTTTTCTTTCACGTAATAAAAATTCTGGTCCAGTGAACCACGTAGACTCCGTTAGTTGGCGATTGGTACAACCACGAGAAACAATATCAGCTGGATTAATTTTTGTAGATATGTGCTGCCACTGACCAGCGCGAGTTATATCTTGGATTTCAGCCACACGGTTGCCTACAAAGGCAGACAGAGTCGAGGAATGTTGTTTCAACCAATGCAGAACTATTTGGGAATCCGTCCAAAAAAATGTTTCTCCTTCGAGGTGAGCGAGTGTCGGCTGAATTTTTTGTAATAACCTGGCAAGTAGTAACGCACCACATAACTCTAACTTAGGCAACGATTTCCTCTTTATCGGAGCTACGCGGGATTTTGCAGTAAATAGTTTGACTGTCACGTTACCTGACTTATCCTGAGAACGAAGATAAATGCAACATCCATATGCTCTTATTGAGGCATCACAAAATCCGTGGATGTCTACTTGTTGAGGGCCTATTGTTAGGCAAAATCGCGGTATCTTCATAGAAGAAAGTGTATGGAGGTCTTGAACGAACGTTTCCCATGTAGAGTGAAGAGCTTGAGGTACTGACTCATCCCAATTCAAACGAAGCAGCCAGAGTTCTTGCATAATAATTTTTGAAACAAGTACAAGTGGAGCGAGTAACCCAAGAGGATCGAACAGTGATGAGGCCAGTGATAGAATAGAACGTTTTGTTACCGTACGACTAATCGGGACATTGAAAGAGAATAGAAACACATCATGAAGTTGATGCCATTTGATGCCCAATGCGCTAGTGATCGTATCCGAACCCAGATCCCAACTCTTCGTTGTAGTGTCGCTTACAAAATCCACATGATTAGAATGCCATTTATCCAATTCAAAACAACCTTCCTTCAGAATTGCAGTCAGTTGATGTTTAATTTCGACAAGTTCTTCACTGGAGTCGGCTCCGCCAATAAAATCATCCACAAAAAATGACGATTTAAGAAGTGGAGAGCCTAATGGGTATTTGTCCTTATATTTATCGGCCAAATATTGTAAACTTCTAGTTGATAAAAACGGCGTCGATGCTGTGCTTTGTTGGAACATCTTTACGATGTCGGCTGTCAGAGCATAACGGTATAAACGAAACTGAAGAAGGAGCAGATATAGTTCCGGCTGAATGGTAGGGCCTACCAGCAAAATGTCATTTAGCGCACGACTAGATGAGGTTGGACATGATGCGTCAAAAACTACTCTCAACTTTGTTGACGTGCTGGAAGGCTTCAGAACACAATGGTGAGGGATATAGTAATGCGGTTCGTTCAATTTGGGATCTTCGACGCGCGTCATATGCCCTAACTCCAGATATTGTTTCATGAACTCCCAGTAATCGCGTTTTAATGCAGGATTGGATGATAAGCGTCGTTCTATACCTAGAAGTCGACGCAAGGCAATTCTGCGTGTCAGACCGAGGGTGGTTGGTGGTTCCTTAAATGGTAATCGAACTACAATTCTTCTGTCCATAGCTTGTCGAACTGTTTCTTGATAGGAGGTCTCGCACTTCGATTGCTCTGGTGACCACGATTTTTCAGCTGATTGTACTTCCTCTATCTTCCACATCATTTCTAGTTGTTTGGATACGGTATCATCTAGTGACATTAGGCAGTTTGCAACTGTGGGATTATCGAGAACACCTTGACATCTACCGGATACCACCCATCCAAACAATGTTTTTTGCAGGACTGGAAGATTGGAAGATTCGCACCCAGTTTAATTTGACCGATGGATAAAATGTCAAAGAAGCTTTCTGTGCCTAGTAAGAGATCGATACGTTTGGATTTAAAAAATAGTTCATCTGCGAGTGAAGTATTCGGCGGGAGGTTCCATGATGATACATCAATTTCTGAGCTTGGCTGGTAAGCAATATGAGGAGTAACGCAGAAGTTGAGATCCAGCTCAAGATTTGAATGACGTGACTTTACGATAGTGGATGTTTGATGCTTTATATTAGCAAATGTGCTGCCTATACTTGCCACATGTACCGGTCGCTTGTATTTGACCAAATTAAGATTTTTTGAGAATTCCTCTGTTATAAAATTAACCTGCGAGCACGAATCGAGTAACGCTCTCCCCACTTGATAACCTCCAACTGAATCTTTCACCAAAACCAGCGCCGTAGCTAAAATTATTTGTTCATTTGAAGACATATCAAGATGAGAGTGACTGGCAACATTGTTATTGGGCAACTGAGTTTGCCTTGTGGTATTTAGTGAATCCGAAACCTGGTCATTGCTATTGGGTTGGTGCAAGAGTGTGTGATGTGACTTTGCGCATATTCGGCATTTGAATGATGATGTGCAATTGGCCACTCGATGCCGGGGCGATAGACAGTTAATGCAGAGTTTCAAACATTTCGCCTTCTCAAATCTTTGGTTAACTTCCATAGATTTAAAACGAGGGCATTTCTGCACTAAATGTTCATGACTTGAACAAAGTAAGCAGGACTGGGTGGAAGTAGCTGTAGCGAACGAATACTGTTTAGGACGACTGATGGGTTTAGCCTTAATATTGTTGGCTTTACGATGTACCGATAGATGGTTGTATGGCTTGTGATCGAGAGATTCTAGAAACTGACAATGTCTGTCAAGCAGTGCTGAACAGTCGTTCCAACTAGGCAGAGTGGTGAGAGATAGCGCCTCCTTCCATTTCCTACGTGTAGTTTCATCCACCCTCTGCATTACCAATGAAATGAGTATTGCCTCACATATTTGTTTTTCAGAGCCTAACGTGCAGAGTGAACCGTACAGTGCAGACACATTATCGATTAGGCTGCGAAGTTGGTGGCTAGACTGATCCGAAACCACTGGCAAATCAAATAAAGCTGTAATGTTTTCTAAGAAAATCAGCGTACTGTTGTCATACCGTGTTTTAAGTCGCTCTAAAGCCTTCGGATAATTTTCATTACAAATGGGGAATGCCTGCACTGTTTCTAATGCTTGGCCCGTTAGACAATTTCGTAAATGGTTAAATTTTTCGATGTTGGTTAGACACGCTTCTCGATCAATAATTTGGACGAAAGAATTGATGAAGTTCTTGTATTCGGAGTACTTACCACTGAACGTGGGTAATTTCAAATGTGGCAACTTCTTACTCACAGGAGGTATCAATGCTGTGTTGTCCATCATTGTAGAATTATTAGCTTCATCATTCAGCTGCGAAGATATGGAAATTTTTGTTGAAATATAAAGCTCCTCTAAGTCAGCTCTGCACGTATCGGTAGCATCTAGTTTCTCAATTCATGTCTGAAATGATAAGACCTGTTTAAAGTAAGAATCTAGGATACCTTGCCTACATTTTAATTCCGGCTGTGACAATAATTTTCCAGTCCCCTTTATGTGGGTTTCAATCAACCCTTTAATCCTACTGATACTCGCTTTGGTTGAGGCCCTTTGCTGTTTGAGTTCTGCCAATTCTGACATGGCCGTCTGGCTTGTGTTGGGTGTTGTCATCTCGATTTAATAAATTATTGATGAGTCAAAATAATTACACTCTCCGAAAGTCTAATAGATATTATATCACGACACGATACCGAAATAGTGCACAAATTCGAAAGTCACTAAGCACTTGCGCATAAATAGTTGTGCTACAACGATAATTAATCGGTTGACCGAATGATGCGAACGAAAGCGAAAGTTCTAAGCACATGCACTTAAATAATTGTGCGACAACGATTAATTAATCGGTTGACCGAATGATGCGAACGAAAGCGAAAGTTCTAAGCACATGCACTTAAATAATTGTGCGACAACGATTAATTAATCGGTTGACCGAATGATGCGAACGAAAGCGAAAGTTCTAAGCACATGCACTTAAATAATTGTGCGACAACGATTAATTAATCGGTTGACCGAATGATGCGAACGAAAGCGAAAGTTCTAAGCACATGCACTTAAATAATTGTGCATAGAGTAGCGGTTATTGTCCGCATATTACCGAACCTCGACACTCGAATAACGTTTATTTTATCACGCGGTAACGTTTTATTTACCACGCGGTAACCACGACCATTAATTAACGTTAAGTTTAGAAATTCCGTTTGAAATTAGCAATTTTATTAATTTGCAAATATTATTTTTTAAATAATTTTTTATTATATATTTATAAACAAAATTAGAATTTATTTTTATCATTTAAATTAACACTTTTTGTCTAAAGTTTATCTTTGTTAATTATACACACCTTGAAGTGTTTTATTTTTTATGTCTGTTATTTGTTGTTTTAAGTAAGAACTTTTCCTATTAGAAAATTTATTACACGGCACTTAAAGCGTTGATCTTTGATTAGTACTTATGACCATTTTTAAAACGTTCGAATATTATTTTCATATTAGTGTCCTGTCACGGTCGCCAATGTTTAATCATAAGCTTTTTTATGATGTTTTGAGTATTAGTCTTTTTCTTTACAATAATTATTACTTATATTTTATCAAATACTAACAATGTCTTTTACGAGGTGATGCTAATTTATTCACTTAAATAAATTGCTTTAAAAAATTAATACAAATTTTGTTCAAATTATTGTAGTTTACGATTTATTTACTTAATTAAACACGTAACAATTCATATAATATATATTTTATTTTTTTTAACTATTTATAAAACATTACTGTTTAATTTTAGCGCACAGACTGTCTTTCTTTACACACTTTTCAAAGAGAACAGAAGAGGCTTTTTTATATTACAATAGAATTCAAGTTGCAAATTAACATGCGTACGAATAATTGAGTGCGAATGTCAAGAGCTGAAAGCTCAAATGAGTAAAAGAAATGACTCAAAACTGGTATTGATCTTGCTCTACATTATTCGTACACATGTTAAAATGCTTACAAACTCAACTTGCTAGATCTACCAAAGCACCGTGCTCCAACATCCCGCCCCCCTTGAAAGGATTTCAAGCTGGCAATAGTGCAAGTTTGTGGATTGGTCGACGGATGACTCCTTTGGATGTCTGCAGATCGACTACGCGAATATGCTTATCTGGACCATTTACACAGTGAATGATTCTTCCCATCAGCCAACGTTGTGGGGGCATATTATCCTCGTGGATTATTACTAATGTTCCATTGCTGACGTTTGATTGTTCCTTTGTCCATTTGGTACGTGTCTGCAGCTCGTTTAGATAATCTCGGGCCCATCGGCGCCAGAAATGATGTTTTACAGCCTTCACACGGACCCACTTATCTGCTAGTGGCAATTTATCATATTGAGATGTTGATTCCGGTAATGTCTTAAGTGGGCCGCCGATAAGAAAATGTGCTGGTGTCAACGCATCATAGTCGCTTGGATCGCAAGACAGCGGTGATATTGGTCTCGAATTAAGTATGGCCTCGATTTCAATCAGTACTGTTCCAAGTTCCTCAAACGTAAGACGAGTGTTTGCAAGGATTCGGTTCAGATGGCCCTTAGCAATTTTCACAGCCGCCTCCCATAGCCCACCGAAGTGAGGCGTCCTAGGCGGTATAAAATTGAAATTGATTAATTGGTTGGTGCAAAAAGTCTGCAAATTAGATTGGTTAGTTTTATTAAATAAAAAGTTTTTCAAGTCAGCCAGCTTGTTGCTAGCACCAACAAAATTTGTTGCATTATCGCAGTAGATATCTGATGGCAGTCCCCTTCTGCCGATCAATCTTTTTAGTGCTGCGATAAAGGCGTCCGTAGTTAAATCTGACACTGCCTCGATATGTGCCGCCTTTGTTGATAAGCAGACGAAGATAGCTATATACGTTTTGAATGGGGCTTTTCCCCGAATACCAAGATACGTTAATACTGGCCCACAAAAATCTACTGCTGTACGAGCGAATGGCCTACTGGGAGTGACGCGTTCAATAGGAAGGTTACCCATTATTTGACCAAGCAATTTCGGTTTGTAACGCACGCAGTGAATGCAAGACCGAACCGTTCGACGCGCAATATCGCGAATGTTTAGTATCCAAAACTTAAGTCGAGTAAGGGCGATTAATGCCTTGGCTCCTGCATGATAGTTGCTCAGATGAAGATGCCGAACGTACAATTCCACAAAATAACAGCCTTTAGGCAGCAGAATCGGATGTCGCTGACCCCTGGCAATGTCACTAAGTGCGAGACGCCCTCTTACCTTTAAGAGTTGATAACCTGACGCTTCCTCCAAGAATGGGTTTAGGTGCTTAAGTGACCCTTCCACTGGGTTACCTCGCTGTAGGCCTTGTATATCCTGAGAAAAAAAATGATTTTGGATAATCCAAACAATACAATGCAGTGCTTTTTGTAATTGCATAGGTTGAATGAACTCTACGTCAGCTTTCTCTTTATACTTGGTTAACTGATGGAATCGATGTAGTTGCGCTACTATTCGTAGTATTTTAGTATAGGAGCCATACTTTGATATAACTGTCAGCAAACAATTTTCTTTAGTTACCTGAGTAAACGCAAGTTTTCTTCTTTCCTTATTGACTACTTCCATATCTAAATTGCTATGTTCTGGTTGAGGCCAATGTTTTCTTTCACGTAATAAAAATTCTGGTCCAGTGAACCACGTAGACTCCGTTAGTTGGCGATTGGTACAACCACGAGAAACAATATCAGCTGGATTAATTTTTGTAGATATGTGCTGCCACTGACCAG